ATATAAAAGACATAACAGAACTTAAAGAAATGGAAGAGTCATTCAGGGAATTTCAAAATATAGCAGAAAGCTTCAAAAACAGTCTAGACCAAGCAGAAGAAAGAATTTCAGAGCTTGAAGACAAGGCTTTCAAACTAACCCAGCCAATCAAAGATACAGATGAAAGAATAAAGAAGAATGAACAATCACTCAGAGAAGTATAGGACTATGCAAAGTAGGCCAATATAAGGATTGTAGGTATTCCTGACGGAGAAGAAGATAAAGCAAAAAGCATGGAAAACCTATTCAAGGGAATTATTGAGGAAAACTTCCCTGGTATCGCCAAAGATTCAGATATCCAGATACAAGATGGTCATCGAACACCAGGAAGATTCATAGCAAGTAGGACATCTCCAAGACACACAGTCATCAACCTGGCCAAAGTCAAAATGAAGGAGAACATTCTACAACCTTCAAGACAAAAGCAACAACTAATCTACAAAGGAAAACCCATCAGGTTAAGAACGGACTTCTCAGCAAAGACATTATAAGCCAGAAAGGACTGGGGCCCCATTTTTGGTCTTCTTTAACAGAACAATTGCCAGCCCAGAATTCTGTATCCTGCAAAATTGAGTTTCGTAAGTGATGGAGAAATAAAGACTTTTCCAGACAAGCAAACGTGAAGGGAATTTGTCACTACTAGACCTGCCCTACAGGAAATACTCAGAACTGCATTATATGTAGAACAGCAAAATAGATACCTACCCATGTAAAAACACCCGAAAGTTAAAGCTCACAACTCTAATAAAACAATAGCACAAGAAGGAAAACAAAACAACAGGTATTATCCAGCATGATGAACAGAACCACTATTCCACACATCTGTACTAACACTGAACATGAACAGTCTGAATGCCCCACTTAAAACACACATACTAGCTGAATGGATGAAAAAACACCCCCAAAATATATGCTGTCTACAAGAAACACATCTAACTCACAAGGACTTGTATAGACTCAAGATAATGGGAGGGAAAAAATATTCCACATAAATGAAAACAAAAAGTGAGCAGGTGTAACCATTCTCATATCAAATAAAATAAACTTTAAATCAACAGTGGTAAAAAAAACACAAAGATGGTCATTTTATAATGGTAAAGGGAGCAATTCAACAAGAAGACATAACAATCCTAAATATATTTGCACCAAACACAGGAGCTCCCAGATTCATAAAGCAAATTCTACTAGAATTTAGCAAAGAAATAAATACCAGGTTTATAATTGCCAGGGACTTCATCCCAGTGACAGAATTGGACAGATTACTAAAGCAGAAAATCAATAAAGAAACGCTGGACTTAAATGGAACTCTAGAACAAATGGACCTAACAGACATTTACAGAACATTCTACCCCAAAACTACTAAATATACACTATTCTCATTGGAACCTGGGACGTTTTCCAAGATTGAGCATATCTTAGGTCACAAAACAAGTCTCAACAAATTCAAAAAAATTGAAATCATACCATGTACCTTACCTTCTCGGACCACATGGAATAAAACCAAAAATCAATTCTAAGAGAAACACTCAAATCCACACAAAGTCATGGAAATTAAACAACCTGCTGCTGAATGATCCTTGGGTTAATGATGAAATTAAAATGGAAATCAAAAGATTCCTCAAACTGAATGACAAGGGAAGCGCAAGCTTTCAAAATCTATGGGATACAGCAAAAACAGTCCTAAGGGGAAAGTTCATAGCCTTAAATGCCTACATCAAAAAGACAGGAAGATCACAAATTAACAACCTAATGTCACATCTCAAGGAACTAGAAAAAGAAGAGCAAACCAAACCCGAAACTAACAAAGAAAAGAAATAACAAAGCTCAGAGCAAAACTAAATGAAATGGATACCAAAAAAATGAAACAAAAAGTTGATTCTTTGAAAAGATAAACAAAATCGATAGACCACTAGCCAGATTAACCAAAAATAGATGAGAAAGGACTCAAATAAGGTCAATCAGAAAGGAAAAAGGAGACATTACAACTGATACCACAGAAACAGAAAATATCACCGATGAATACTACCAAAACCCCTATGCACACAAACTAGAAATCATAGAGGAAATGGATAAATGCCCAGAAACACACAATCTCCCAAGGTTGGATCAGGAAAGAAATAGAAATCTTGAACAAACCAATAACAAGCAGTGAGATTAAAGCAGTAATAAAAACATCTTCCAAAAAAGAAAAGCCCCAGACCAGATGGATTCACAGCTGCATTCTAGCAGACCTACAAAGAAGAACTGGTACCTATCCTACAGAAATTATTTTATGACATCAAGAAGGAGGGAATCCTCCCTAACTCATTCTGTGAAGCCAATATCACCTTGACACCAAAACCAGGAAAGGACACAACAAAAAAAGAAAACTACTGACCAATATCGCTTATGAACATACATGCAAAAATCCTCAACAAAATACTAGCAAACCAAATTCAACAGCACATCAAAAAGAAAATTCACCATGATCAAGTGGGTTTCATGTGGGTTTCATCCCAGGAATGCAAGGATGGCTTAACATATGCAAATCAATAAACATGATTCACCACATAAACTGAAGCAAAAACAAAGACCATATGCTTATGGAGTATGGAGTATGGAGATTCCTCAACGAAAGAAATGTAGACTTACCATTTGATCTAGCAATCCCACTACTGGGTATCTACCCAAAGGAAAAGAAGTCAAAAAGAACCTGCACTCAAATGTTGGCGTAGCACAATTCACCATTGCAAAGTCATGGAATCAACCAAAGTGTCCATCAATTCGTGGGTGGACAAAGAAAAATGTGGTGTGTGTGTGTGTGTGTGTGTGTGTGTGTGTGTGTGTGTGTATACACATATATACCATGGAGTACTACTCAGCTATAAAAAGGAATGAAATAATGTATTTTGCAGCAACTTGGATGGAACTGGAGACCGTTATCCTAACTGAAGTATCTCGGGAATGGAAAACAAACACCACGTGTATTCTCTAATAAGTGGGAGCTAAACGATGGGCACACATGGGCACAAAGAGACGCAAAGGACATTGGAAACCATTGTCTGTCCATAAGGTCACAAGCTGAGCACATCTCCAGAAGGGGAAGATGGGACTGCCAGGCACGTCTTTTACTGCAATAAAATCCACCGACTGCCCATTGACCGTCTCCTTATTCTGGAAATGCCTGAGTCAGAAACGCCTACTGTTAGGCAACGGGATCGTAAACTGAAACGCCAATGATGGTCTGTTCTTTTCATTGTCCAGGGAGCCTTAGGCTTTAGATAGCAAATAAAATAGTCAGCTCTGCTATAACACTTGGTTTGAAAACACATATTTGTCCCAATGCCATTCATACATTAGGGAGGAATTTGAGCATAACACAAATTTTGTGTCTGCTTATATACATTTCCTCTGGGAGAAATACTAGGTGAATGTATAAAACTGCACCCAGCTGAACCGAGTCATGCAGGAAAAGAAAAAACATACACATGCACATGTTGAACACCTACCAGTTCACACATGCGCCAGGGCACCAGGCCCCTCCGTGCCTGCTGTCACAGCTTCCCCTTGGTTTCAGACAGCCCTCCTTCTACCCTGCCAACATCCACTGCCATGCAGACTTCAAGTTCTTTTTAAGAAATGACACACTCCTTGCGGTATTTATGTGTTTCTTAGCCATTTAACATGTGTAAAACTGTGCTACTGTTTTTATTAAGTTTCTATCTTTTTCATATGTACCCTTGATGAAGTTTTTGCACATCGTGTCTCTAACTCATTTTCCCCTTAAGGCCCTGTGGTTTTTATTGTGCAATTCTGCGTGACATGGTGACTTTTAGGAATGCATGTAGCATTTTGGCAGAACTGGTTGCATTGAGAAAACAAAATGGTAATAATAGCTTGTTTTTCGGGTTCCTGCAGCAATATATTAGCATAAACCATCAAAAATTCAGCATGACATTTTAAGACTTCTTTCTTCTCTCTTTCCTGCAACAAGCCCATGTTGAATTTTGCCTTTGACCATCCTTCAATTACTCTAGCCCTTTCCATGAACTGCCTGGCCCAGTGTCAGGGTGGAAGGGCACCCCCAAAGGGTGTGCATCTATTGCCATAACCAGCCCACAACTGTATTTTCAAACTGCTAGCTCACTGCCTACGGGCACTGCTGAAGCAGCAACCCGAAGGAGAACTGAACCAGATTAGGGTGATAATATCAGAACTTTAAAATCACTTCTGGCTAAAATTTTTACTGTCTGGGCTTTTGGGGAATCAGCTCAATTATCGTTCTTCTGCCCTGCAGATCCTCCTAGGTCTCAAGCCTGGTCTCCGGCATTCCCCTTGATCGATGAGGTGACGTCCCTCATACTTTGGTTACATGAAAGTGCTGAAAACTATTTACAAGAATTCTGAATGCACCGGGGTACACGCACAGTGCGTGCACTGAAGGTGGAATTAAGTTTTTTAAAGATTGCTATTACCTTGTCACCAGAAGAGCAAGACATGGCAAGGGAGTTTAATCCTCAGCAAACTTTCTCAGCAACAAACCTCCACTACTGTCTTTTTTCACATTACATCATAGACGCACTTATGAGTGAGTACAGAGCCACATTTATGTGTGTGGTTAATGAACTCTGATTCCACAGGCTTTAAGAGTTATGCCTGGTTTACAAAGATAAGGCTTTAATCATCTGAGAAGCAACAGAGCAGAAATCTCGAGTATAGAGTACAAATAAATCAAGAAGTCAGATGACTGGCTTCAACTCACAGCTTACCAGCTTGGTTACCTCAGGCAAGTTACTTACCCTCTCTGTGCTTTAGTTTCCTCAACTATCAAATGACAAATAATAGCACCTGCCTCGTAGTCTTACTGCAAGGAGTAAATGAGTTAATGCATGTAAAATACTTGGAACTGTGCTTAGCACAACAGTGCCACAGAAGTATTTGCTGCTCTTACCATTGCACAAAAGAACCCAGCCACGACTCACCTCTGGTATACCAGAGCCACAGGCGTATGGCGCAAATACCCGCACTAGGGAGACGGCCAAAAATGCAAACAGCAGCGCCCACAGGATATACATTAAGTAATTCAGAATGTAAGCACTGGCCCCCTAAACGACAGACACAAAACAAGAAAGGAAACATGAGCCATAGCAGAACTGAGCAATGTACCCAACCCTACCCCCTCTGTTGTGACAACAAAAGCTTTGACAGCACTGGGCAGGTTTGGTCCCGGTCCTTTTGTTTCCTTTTTGGAAACAAAAAGGCCAGCGTTGGTTTTATCAGCTGTTGCTATTGCTACAGTCAGTACACACAAACAGCGCACTGGGTGTTTCTCCAGGAGCTGTTTACACGTAGCTTCTACCGGGTGAAATCTCAGCAGTCATGGAAACTGTGAATGATGCTTGGTTTTAATCACCACTTGCACCAGAGTTAATGAAATGTGGGATGCAGAAAATTCTGCCTTCAAGACCCTGGCAAATTTGTTTTGTCTTGTCTGCGGTGGATTGGTCTCGCTCAGCTTTCATTAAGGCCACACCCATACCACAACAAGCAGCTGCAGTGCCAATGAACAAGGGTTGGAACTGTATTTCAGAATATGTTCCTCAAAGTGTGGTCCGTGGACCAGCGGCAGCAGCAGCAGCAGCAGCAGCATCGCCCAGGAGCGTGTCAGAAGTGCTGACTCTCAGCACTCAGGCCAGAGCTGCTAAGTCAGACACAGCAGGTGGGGCCCAGCTAAGTGTGTTCTAACGGGTCCTCCAGACGGTTCTAATACATGCTAACATTTGAGAGGCACTATTGGAGGAGAAAAACTTGATCTCCTTCAGAATAATTCATTGAACCATTTATTCCAAATTACGTGATGTGTGGAGAACGTTTCCTCAACCACACACCCAGTCTGAGGCCTTTTAGGTCAAGGACCTGGTCTGCTGCATGGAGGCCAGGTTTCTCTTGGCCTTAGCTTGTCGCCCCCATCTGGATTTCCCAAGTGAGGGGCAAAGGAAAGAAAGGTCACCTACAAGTCAGGCCACAGCCATGGCCATGTGTGTGCGTATTAAATGCAAAAACACGTTCCAGGAGGCTGCGCTGCCTTTACAAGCACATATATTCACACCCTATGTGGTGAGAAATCGGACTGAAGAATACCTTTCACCCACTTAAATATGTACTTTTTGGGAGGCTAAAAATAACTTCTCACTCTTACTGACAATAATTCTTTGCATCAAAGAATAAATCTTAAAAACAGCTGAAAAGATGGACAACCATATTTCCCCACAACACACATTGCAAGGAGAGAAGGAATAAAACATGGCACGCAGCCAATTCCCCCTGCCCACGCCCATCGACCCAAGTAGAGAATTTCTTTTTGGAAGTAATGGAGAGCACTGAGAACGTGTGAGATTTCAAGATCCCTGTCTACTTCTGAGATTTGAAGGAATTAATTTTCAATTCCACCGAGAAAGAGGTTTAGCAAAATGGCAAAGTGCATTCCAAATGTCTTCAGCTGTGGTAAGTCAGTCAGGCAAAAAAAAAAAAAAAAAAAAAAAGCGGGGAAAGGAGGAGATGTATAAACAGATTACATACATCTTCCAAGAATAGTTCTAGCTCGAGCAAGCCTCACATTACCCCTAATGTGAAGCTTGGCAGCCCGGCTCCCCATCACCTGGCGTTCTGATCCCTCAATGACCCACAGTCACTGTGAAACCACTGAGTTCAGTTAGAAGTTAACCCCTTCCTGAGCTAAAGTCTTTATAAAAATTGGAAGTTCTAATTGCCATAAGGGCGATCCCTAGGTGTGTGGTTCAACACTACATCTCCTGTGCCTGGGACATTCCCTTCAAAGAAGGCCCAGAACATCCTCTGAAATGTGCTCATAAAATGCAATGGAAGATGATAACTAAAACCGCAATGGGGTACCACTTCACACCCACTAGGATAGCTATACTCAAAAACAGACAACAGCAAGTGTTGGTAAGGGTGGGAGAAATCGGAACCCTCATTCACTGCTAGTGGGCATGTGAAATGGTGCAGCCACTTTGGAAAACAGTCTGGTGGGTCCTCAAAAAGTTAAACAGGGTTCCCATCTCACCCAGCAATTCCTCTCCCAGGTATATACCCAAGAGAAACGAAACATATGTCCATACAAAAACTTGGACACAAATGTTCACAGCAACATCATTCATAACAGCCAAAATGCAGAAGCAACTGACGAATAGATAAATAAAATGTGACATATCCATACAACAGAATGTTATTCAGCCATGCACAAGAAGGAAATACTGATTCGTGCTACAACGTGCAGGAACGTGGGAAACATTATGCTAAGTGACAGAAACCAGACACAAAGTCTACATACTGTATGATTTTATTTATATGAAATGTCCAGAAGAGACAAATGTATAGAGACAAAAAGTAGATCCATGGTTGCTTAGAGCTGGTGGATTGGGGAGCACGGGAGTGACTGCTAATGAATACAGGGTTTGGGGGGCAGTGATGAAAATGTTCTAAAATTAGATTGTGGTAATGGGTGCACAGCTCTGTGAATATACTAAAAGCCATTGAACTGTACACTTTAAATGGATGAACCATATGAACTGTAAATTTTATCTCACTAAAGCCGTCACTTTTTAAAAAAGGATAACTTTTCTCCCCAATTAGAAGGTAACTAACCCTATTTCTTCAGCATGATCAACAAACCACTTTTGCTAAGAAAAATAAAGCCAAACATGAGGCTTTAAAAGACACGTATTAACACATGCTGCGCACATGAAACAATGAGGAAGGGTTTTCCAAGTGAGGTTTGAGGGGCAGCATGAGCTAGAACAAAGTCATATAGCATTAAGCCATGCACTACGACTAGAACAGACACTTGAAGGTGAAGTCACGGCTATTCCCAAATCGCCCGGCAGCATGCCAAAGTGCACGCGGAATGGCAGGGTCCCCAGCCAGGACCCTGCCCGACACCCACCTCCGACTGATTCACCAGCAGCTCTGACCATTTCTGCCACAGGGGACACTTGTCCCTGTCCTCAAAAGTAGTCTCGTTGGAAGTCCAGCAGCACTGCTCGTGGCTGTACCAGAAGGCAGACAGGCAGACCCCCTCCTTCAGATCCGTCATCCAGTCGACGGCAAGATCGATGACGCCAGCCAGAGTGCCTGGAAGAAGAGGAATTGCCCCATGATGTGACAAGGAGGACAGCAACCTGGTGGCCACACAGGGGCACTTCGGCAATGAAGGCCCAGACGCCAGAGCAGGCAGTGAACGGGACGGGGACTGTCACATAGGAAGCTTCTTTCATTGACCCTGAGTCACTTGAACCTTTATGGTGTGGCAAGGCAGCGCCAGCCCGGTAAGAGATGCGAAGGGCTCCGTGGCGTCAGTCAGGTAGGGGAGAGAGACATACGAGTTTGTACTCTGATCTCAGGCCCGGGGGCCAAGCAACTTTTGAAACTCGTCCTTTTCCAGATTTTTGAAATAGGGAATACACACCATAAAAGACACAACCCTCTCAGCAGCTGGGACGGCATCCTGGAATCACACACGTTAATGTTAATATTTCTCAGAGGCAGGGAATGCTTTCAAGCTTCTTATTTTTTTAGACTTTTTACTGGATCCTTATTACAGTATTGGTCTGGCGCCTGCATTTGCACCGAAGGCGCCCACACGCCATGGGCGCTCACCCTCCCTCCTCGCCTGTTTTTACATGGGAAGCGGCCCAGCTTGGCTCTAGATCGCCTTAGGCCGCCTTCTCCCAGTTCCCCTTTCTGTATCCTCGACCTCTCCTTTTCTGATGGCTCCTTTCCCTTCGGCTTTTATTCCTTAAAAAAAAAAAAAGAAAAAAAAATCAAACCTTCCCTGGTCCCACTTCCTCCCACCAGCCACTACCCTCTCTCCTCCCTTCTCCTCCAGGCCTCACTTCCCTTCCACCCAGTCCACCCCCTCAGCCCACCCACCAGGAGACGCCTGAGCAGCTAAGGGCAATGGCCTTTGCTCAGTCCTCATCTTCTAGGACAGGATCAGCAAACTACAGCCCCCGGGTCAAATCTGGCCCACCGCCTGTCTTTGTAAATAAAGTTTTATTAGAGCACAGCCACACCATTCCATTACATGGGGTCTGTGGCCACTTCCATGCTGCAATGGCAGAATTGAATAGCTGAGACAGAAACCACATGGTCCACAAAGCTGAAAATATTTACTCTCTAGCCCCTTGTAGACAGTTTGCTGACCCCAGTTCCAGATCTCTCAGCATCATTTGACACTGCTGACCACTTCGTCCTTCTAGAAACACCTCTTTCTGTGGCTTCCACAGCATTACATTCTCCTGGTTTCCTTCTACCTCTCCGGTTTTCTCTGTCTCCCCTGATCTTTCCTACTCCTCTCCTCAACTTCTAGAAGGTGCATTTCCTCAAAGCTTGACCCTAAACTCTTTTCTCTTTTTACACTATACTCTCCACCCTGGCAACCTTATTCATGTCCTTCTATTTGCCACTGAGCCTAGCTATGCCTTTTCCAGGCACCTAGAACCCCCTGCCTACTGCAGGGTCAATGACTACAGAGCCCAGCTGCCAGCCTCCAATGCCCATGGCATACATCACCAATCAATTGTGACACGCTCTACTGGATTCGTCTTCACAACTCTTTTGACATGTCCATGGCAGGCACCACTAATCCATCATGACACATTCGTGTGGACTCACCCTCCCAAACCTTTTTAATGGAGCCGCAGGCAGTCAAAGCCAATGAACAGGAATTGTCAAAGGACACGAGTCTGTTTGCCTTCCTGGGTCTCCTGGATATCTCCACTCCAACTCACTGCATCCAATGCTACACTAAAATATCCAGCGTTGTGCTAGCCGGGAAAGAGCCCACCATCTAGGTACAGTCCTGTGCAAACTAGAAACCTGGGTTGGCATCCCCCTTCCAGACTATCCCCAAATCCCAGCAACTCCACCTCTGAAATCTCTCGACTCGCTCCACCTCCCACCTTCCCCACCTGGGCTGCCATGCAGACCGCCATCTTGGAATGGCTCCGTGACTTCTCCACACCGTGGCCACACAGGCTTTCCAAAATGCCAGTCTGACTCGGGCCACTTCCCCATGGAAAGCTCTGCCATGGCTGCCCATTGTTCTCGAGAGAACACCCGAGTTCTCACCATGGCACCAACCTGACAGCCAGTCCCGTGTATAGCTCCAGCTTCATGTTTTCCCTCACTAACCCCTGCACCCCACCTGCTCCATGTTCCTGAAATGTGCCAGGCTCTCTTCTCTGCATTATCTCAGCAAACACTGTCTTCCCCCCACTGGGCACTCTCCTACTTATCTTCTAGATTCTAGGATTTATATTAATATCACCTCCTTCAGGAAGCCTTCCCTGATTTCCTAAGTCTGGGTTAGGTGTACTTTCCAGACATTCCTGTGGCTGCCTATCCTTCCCCAACACCACACCTCTCATATTCTGACATCATGATTTGCTAGATACGTATGTTCGTACTTCCACTGGCCTATAAGTGGCGGGGGGAAAGTTTTATTATATAGTTTTCGTGCCACAGTGGGGATCAGGCCAGGCATCCAGGCCCTGTGTCCACTCTAGGCGGGCAGCGACCCTATCTGCCTTGTCCACTGTTGTATTCGTGTCAGGTACAGAGTTGGAGCTCTATATCCTTGCTGAACGAACGAGGGCAATAAATAGGTGACTGGAAAATCAGAAAACTCAGGCCCACTTGTTCATTCAAGGGATATTTCTTGAGCACATACTCACTCTATGCCAGTTACTAGTCCATCCCCTGGGGATACAGCAGTGAACAAAGCAAACCCAAGTCCCGGCCTTTGTGCGATCGCACCTTACAGCTGGGAGAAAGACACTAGACAAAACAAGCAAGTAAATTAGAGGCTCTGTTAAAAGGCGACGAGTGCCAGAGAGAAAACATAACCCATTACAAAGGTGCAGCCACCTCAGAAAACAGTCTGGCAGTTCCTCAAAAAGTTAAACACAGTTACCATTTGACCAAGCAATTCCACTCCTAGGCATATACCCAGGAGAAATGAAAACATATATCCACATGAAGACTTGTACACAGACATTCCTAGCAGCATTATTCAAAATAGCCAAAAAGTAGAAACAACCCAAATACCCACCAATGGATGAGTGGATAAACAAAATGCGGTCTATCCAAATAATGAAATAGTACTCGGCAGTAAAAAAGGAATGAGGCACTGATGCGTGCTATTTAACGCCACACAGGTGAGCCTTGAAAACTTTATGCTGAAAGAAATTAATCACAAAGGACGACACGTTGTAAGATTCCATTTATATGAAATGCCCAGAATAGGCAAATCCACAGAGATGGAAAGCAGGTGAATGGTGGCCTAGGGCTGGGGCTTGATAGCTAAAAGGTACAGGTGTTCTTTTGTGGGGGTGACAAAATTATTCTAAAATTGATAGTGGTGATGGTTGCACAACTCCATAAATACACTGAAAACCACTGAATTGTATACCTTAAATGGGTGAATTGTATGGTATGTGAATTATTTCACATAAATTTCAATATTGTATAATATTGAATATATTATATAATTCAATATCGAATAGAATATATTTAAATAAAATTGTTACATCCATACAGTGGGTCAGGGGATGAGATTCAGAGAGGGGATGTAATTTTTTTTTAAATTTTGCATAGCAGGCAGGTTTTAACTTTTTCAAAGGCAATTAAATAATAAAATACCTAATTACAAACACAAAAGTACATATAATTAGTTTCATTAAGTTAGATCTATTATTAGCTATCTCCTGATTTATTTTTATTTTTTAAATTGACAGATAACATTGCATGTTTTTATCATGTGCCACATGATGTTTTGAAGTACACGCACCTTGTAGAATGGTGAAAAACATTTCCTAATTTAAAGTTGGAAACTAAAACCCAATAAAAAGAAATCATGCATACTCAAAGGGCTTTCTCCAGATCCAGAACGCTTGCTTCAGCCCAGGGAGCCTGCACAAAGGCAGCTGAGTAAACACTGCCCCCTAGTGGCAGCAAGCGAGAACGTAATATTTAGCATTCCGTGAGCTCTTTCCACAGGCTCTGGTAATGTGGAATTTAGAAATATCAATGGGACAAACAAAGGCAGAGGGCTCATTATCTTGATCTGTTTTTACTTTTTGAAATTGACAGATAAAATTCATGTCTATTTATGGGGTACAATGTCATGTTTTTATTTATTCATACATTATAGAAAGATTCAATCAAGCCAATTAACATAACACCTCACCAATCGATCATTTTTGTGGTGAGAACGTCAAAAATCTATTTTAGCAATTTATAAATATACATGATTATTAACTGCAGTCACCATGCAGTGCAATTGCTCACTGAAACTTATCCCTCCAGTCTAACTGAAATTTGTACCATTTGATCAACATCTTCCCTTTCCCCATCCCGCCCCCAGTCCTCCCAGCCTCTGCTAGCCACCTTTCTACTCTCTCTCTCTATAAGATCGGCTGTTTTAGACCCCACATATCAGTGAGATCACGCAGTGTTTGTCTTTCTGTGTCTGGCTTATTTCCCTTAGCATAATGTGGAGGGATGTAATTTTAGAGAAGGTGGTCAAGGAATGCCTCAAATGGAAGATGACATTTGAACAAAGGCCTGAAGAAGGTGAGGGAGGGGTCTTGCAGATATCCGGGGGCAAGCTGCAATGATCACCCCAAATTCCATCCTTACCCATTCATTCACAATCCCACTATTCCCACCCCATCTTCCTGGCTGATTCTGGTTCCGAGCGCGGCCGGTGGGCATCAGCTTTGTTCCATGGTCCAACAGTGACACCCAGTGGTGACTTCTGATAAACGCCCTGCCGAGGAGCTGCCATTGGGCCTCTCCATGAAAGAGTGAGACTATAACCGCCAGGGTGCCGCTGAGGGGACGCAGGCAGAGGGACCCCCAAGCCCTCCCCAGGGTTAGTCCAAGAGGGAAGGGGAAAGTGCACGGGGCACAGCGCCCTGGCTTCCCTTCAAGGTGCATCCAGATCAAAAGAACACGTGAGGCCGCTTCGTTTTGATATCATCCCATTCGCGCCCTGCTGCTGTGCCCACGGGCTCTCCTCTCTACAGCAGTCCTCACCCCTGGCTGCAGTTACAGTCACACAGGCGACAGGAGGGGGCTTTATTCAGTGCCAGGGTGCCTCTCCAGAGATGCTGTTTAAGTGAAACTTGGGCCAAAGTATATATATATATTTTTTACAAAGAACTGATAGAAGTCGAGCTGCTAGTGAAGCCAGCTGGTCAAAATCACTTTAAAGTTAGCCCAATCGGGCTCCTAGGTTAGTCAATAAATTTAAGCTGTGCCGTTTACTCAGGCAAGCCACCAGAACATCTATTCCGAGTTTCTTGATCTACCCTATTTATGTCTCCTTCCTAGAAGCCAAGAACAATGATACACTGTAAGGTTTTATAATCTGTTCTAATTAAAATTCATAGCAAATTCCCACCCTGCCCACCTTCAAAGGTCTTCATAGAAACAGTCGAGCAAAATTGGTGACTGAATACCATGTATCAGCAAAGTCTAATTCCCTGCCCTGGTTGCTGCCAGTGTATTGTGGGAAATGCCCCTGGGGGAGGAAGGACAGAATCAGAGAAATGGGTGGACAGCTGCTGTGACTAGCAGGAAAGGACTCTTCCTCCAAGCATTCCTCTCGGCTCTTTATGGGATGCCAAGGCAGGCGAGACAGCAACCACACCCCTCCTACAGTCATCTACGGAATAAATGAAACATCCCCTGGCAATGGAAATCCCCCATAATCACAAACTTGTATCTATGCTCCATTAGTATTCTTTCTTGGAGGGCTTATTATACATTCTGCCTGTATTACAGTCAATTCCATGATCAAGTCTGCTATGGAACTGAACTGCCATGTTCTTATATGCAAGGGCTCTCTCCAGCATACTCAAGTTTTTATTCTTAGACATTAACCTTCACAATTTTCTGAAAGGAAATAAGTTTCAGGATACAATTTCCCCTAAGAGCTGGTGTGTTTGATATTAAAAAGACAGGTTTCCCCTCTAGGTATTTATCCATTTACTCTGGAAACATCTACTGCTCGAAAACATGGTGTCGGCACTATAAAAAGGAAGGGTGCAGAGCCCCTGAGGGTCAGAACGACGCAGGGAGTGGGCCTACCTCATACCTGTGGGTGTCTAGCGTCATTCTGAGTGTCACAGGCTACTTACAATTCATCCCAGGGCCTACAAGTAGTAGTAAAAGGCAATCTTGAATGTTGTTTTGTTATTGGAGATCAAAATGGTCCCCTATTTTGTTGCCATCTACATAACCAAGTACGGTAGAGTGTAAAATGCGTGCTTTCAGTAAAAAGCAGTACAGTGATAAACCTTTGCACTGCGGGGAAAGGGCCGACCAGCTCGATGATGACAACTCTCCAGAAGCCCGTGCGTGGGCCCATGCCTTGGGTGTGCCTTGTTGATGACAGATTTTAAGTTAAATATTATACATGGTCATGTATTTTGCTCTTAGATATTTCAGGTAACAAATCCCTTGCATGGGGGTCAAAGACAAACACTCCATATTCTGAATGTCATCAGAAAGGTTAGTGTCGTGCGGTTTCAGCATCCCCAGCTTGTCCCAGGAGCACCGCGTGCCCGCCCACGTACCCGCCAGCAGGCCGATGAGCAGCATCACCACCCATCCTGACCAGGCATCCAGCAAACTCTTGATGAACTCCCACAGCGACTCCTTGCTTTTGCTGGTTATCTAGAAACAAAGCAGACACAGCAGCTCGTCTGAGCACATTTTCCAGTTCATGCTTCTTTCCCTGAAACTGTTTCCTTGGGAAACAGGATAATTGAAAAAATAAAACGAATGTAATCAAGCCACTAAATTATCCCATCACATTATTCTTTCAGTAATGTCCCACAATCATAAAACGCACTTTGTAGTTCATAGGGCGGTAAAGATGGCATAATAGTCCCTAAAGAAACAGAGCACAAAAAAATTCACTTAATTAAAAAACATACTAAACGTGATTTGATCTTTGATTATTTAATAGCCATGCTGAAGGCGAATGTTGGTTTGGTGCCCCCATTTTGAACAGGAGTTACTATCTAACTTACATTGTTAGGTCTGTTCATTAGAAAGCCTCTTCAACAAAGATTTCATCTCCTGCTTTGGTACTCCAGGTTAAATTTTAGCAGCATGAATTTAGAATTAGCTAGCACAGATCACATATGCCTACCATAGACGGACTCATCCGCACACACTACACACACTGTGAGAACAGCCCTTGTCTCCTTGTGCTCACAGAATCCTACTCCCCTGAGATCACCATTCCCCCTCACAGCCCTTTAGAGCAGAGGTCAGCAAACATTTCCTGTAACGGGCCAGAGAGTAAATATTGGGGGCTTTGGAGGCCAAATGTTCACTGCTGAAACTACTCAACTCTGCCACTGTAGCATGAAATGAGCCATAAACAATATGTAAATGAATGGGCATGGCTGAGTTCTAATAAAACTTTAGTTACAAAACAAGGTGCCAGCTGGCTTTGGCCCCAGGGCCACAGTACAGGCTGAGCCCTGTGCTGGAGTGCAGGCCACCCCACCCGCACGGCCCTGAACCTCACCCCTACACTCCTCTCTTCCTCCTTCCCACCACCCTTCAGGAAATAACCCAACACAGTCACACTCTCCTCAGCACTCCTCGTCCTCCTGTGCAGCAGCTCTTCCAGTCACCGACACCCCCTACCTGACCGCCCCGCAGAGGGTGACCTTGGGAGCAGCCCCTCCTTGACTCTCTCTCCTCCTTTCACTGGGGACACTCTTGGCCGGTCCCCCTCCCCTGTCCCTCGTAAATGATCCCAAAGCACTTGATATATAAACTTTACTGTGGTCCATTAAAATATCTGTATGATTGCCGACTAGGTGCCAGGCACTACAATGTGTGCTCTTATACACACACAATCTCATTTAATCTTCAGGTATAATGACCTCCATCCCCGTGGATGAGAAAACAGGGTCCAGAAATGGCACCCTCGAATCCCCTCCTTGCCCTCCACACCACACTCCCTCCATAAGACACAGCCTCCCACCCAAAGCGCCCGGTATCATAATGATGTGCTCCTATCTCTGCCTCTCCCACGAGCCCTCCTCCTCCTCAGAACCTAACCCAGTACACGACACACGAAGCTAAGCCCCAGCTCAGTAACTTGAATGAAAGCATGGTGTACCATCCGCAGGGATCCCCTTCAGTGTGTCCTCTCAGAATGCCACCTACCTTCCTGTGTCTGTCAGTATCGCGTGACTTCTCCCTTAGCCAGTCGATGGTGTGGAAGTCTTCGTACGTCCCCACATCAGGGAACGGCTCATCGAGGAAATCCATCAGGTTTCCAGAGCCACTCATCGCTCCTGCACTGACCATGCTAGTTACACCTGGGGAGAAAACCGGTCATTAAAAAGGTAAGCAGCACATCTCCACGACATCATGGCAGAGGAGTAATCCACTTGCTCTATTTTCTTGTATGAGAAAAAAGTATTTCAGCACAGGCATCTGCGCTGTGATGAAATATAGACACGGTCAATTCTCATAATTCATGGAAGCTGTGTTCTATAAAGTCACCTCAAACACTGAATTAGCAAATACTGAACCACTGCTCCTAAGAGGATACAGGGTTAGGTTTCTATGAGCCTCCGGTCACATTTTCGTAAACCTATCAATACATAACCTTGTCTTGTGTGTTTCCATTTAACATATGTCGTCGATTCACTGACATTGAACTCACGGCCAACAGCACTATGACTCATGCCTGAACGAAGCTTCTCTAACACATGTATCTTCTCCATAAAAGACAGCACACAGCCTTCTTACACATAAGAACACGAGACAGCATTCCAGGACTGCATTGAGGGCCATTTTAAACGTGAAATTACCAATAAAAAAAACCCCACAAAAATGTGGCACTAAATAGAACACAAAAAGGACACTCATTTACAGTCACAGAGTGGAAACAAGGAGGCAGGGCATTGCCTTCTTAGACTTCAGCTAGGAACGTGCACTTCTGGCAACTCAAACTTTTTGCCACTCTACACACGCACGTATCCATAAATGACCTCGAAAGCACATGAGTACTGATTTGGGCGTTACAAATAAATTTTAGTAAGTAAGCAAATTTGCAAATACAGAGTCTGCAAAATAGGATCAACTATATACGTTTCCAAAAAACCTCACATTCTGCAAAAGCGAGGCATTAAAATGAGGGGGCTGGAGGGACAAATGGGGCAAAGAGGGCTCAAATTCAAATAATTGCAACAAAACTGATAATTGCTTCCCACGTGAGATAACGTGGACCACTCAGGCAGGCAGCCTATGTGGTTGTCATCATGGATATTCAAGATGTGCAGCAATGGCACAGTGAAAATGCTGGCAAGACTCTCATTAGCTGGTGGGAGCCGAGGCAATCTTCAGATGGCAGCTGCCCTCTGCATCGGTGGGCCACCATGGAGATGGACAAGGGAGGGAGGACAACCTGCCATGAGCCAAGAGCCACGCAAAGTTGGTGGCACACTGCACTGGGTAAGGAGCTCTGTGTGCAGATGCTCATTTTTAATTTATCTTAAAATATAGTCAAAAGGGCTCTTGCTGCCAGGGCAGTAGCAAAGTTAAATGTCTCCTCCTTTTCTAAGATAATTCTACACTCCTATTCCAGCTCCCCTTACCTGGAAAACAATAGCAAATGAACCAACACATCTCCCATGTTCTCCCGCCATCAGAGCTTGATTTGCAGCTTGCCTAGGAGATAATTTGAGATGTAGAAAATGCTTTGCAGCAGGACCTGTGCTCAACAAGTTAGCAGAAAAAAATAATACGCTCTTACAGAGATAAGAGGTTGTAATATGCACTAAATAAAAATTACTTTGGCAAAGAGCATGGAAATTTGAATTATAGGATGAGGACCACGAAAGTGCTGGAATAGATGGTTAAAAAGTTGAAGGGTGGTTATAAAAACACAGGCTTCTGTCATTGCTTGTGTATTTATGTATCTGGAGGACTGAGCCATGAACTGATGAAACTGCATTTTAATCAAATTGAAGAGTCACCATGGGCAAAGTAGGGTAATCACCTTACAAGCAATAAAGTGGCCACAGTGACTGATTTATTGACCACGTGTGCAACCCAGCTGCTTTAAAACTTCAAAAGTTTGAGGTTTGAGCTGTGCCAAGTCAAAGACGATACCCGCTGATGAGTGCCCAGGGAAGAATCACGTTGCATAAGTCAGTAGCAACCAATAACATAACGAATAATATAAGGGAAGGAGTAAAATTAGAAAGCAAAGACTTCATTTCTCATTTCTACACAAAATGATAATAATCTTATATGTGGCAAAGAAAATCTCTGACGAGAAAAACAAGACGACAGGCTATTGAACCTCAATGCAAGCCCTCGTCAGAGAAACCAGCAGATGGAGGAACTGCAGAGACTTGGACAGTCCACTAAAAAGGAGTTGCTACTACCTGAGACTCAACCACATCTCCAGTCAAGCAACTACTCCAGGCAATAATGCTTGAAACAAAAAGTCCCTCTGGAGAACAATTACATCTTTAAACTTTAATGGCACAGGTAGTGGTTCTAAGGCAAATAAACAGGAGCTGATCAGCAGAGCCTTGGGGCAGGGCCTGGGGGGCTTCCCTGGGATGTGTCCCTGGGGTCCCAGAAGGAAGTGCTGGCATCACTTCTGAGGTAGGGGTTCAAAGATCATCTAGGTCCAGCTGACCATAGATTCAGGAGTAAGCCCAGCCGAGATCAGCCAGCCTTGGCCCAATCCAACCTGTAATGGTTACTGTTCTAAGCCATTGCATTTATTAAAGGAGTCATCATGCAGCAGCATCATAACAGTGGATAACAGGTGCAATGTACTTTGGCTCTGAGGGAGAAGAGAGAAGGGTCTCTGGAGGACATGGGGCAAGGACACCTAGGTCATTTATCCAATACCTCAAGGCAAGAAAGTATCTGTAGGTTTGGTCTGTAAGCACGAAGACCCCAAGAGGCCAGGGTCAAAGTCTTCAATAGCAGGTGGTAACACCAGATCCTGTCCAGTAAAAGTCACTTTACCCAGGGCCCAGTGAAGACAAGCATGTGTTAACTGTGATAGTATCAATGATGCAATTTATGGCTTTGATGTTGAAAGCAACTCTGCATGGGCTGGCTCACCCTCAGAACAAGGATCTGTACCATTTAAAGGAAACCTGGACTTCTTTTTTTTTGAGGCTAGTCAAGTGAAGCAGTGGGAGTGGAGAAAGAACAAAGTAACTGTAACTGGTTGTGATCAATTAGTTGTAAACACCAGTGTACTTGGACCAGCAGGAAACCTGGACTTTATATAGTTGGGTGTTGGCAATAACATAATGGGTTCTAGCAGATGAAAAAAAACAGGAAATCACCCAGATCAAGATCAAGAAGGACGGGCCGGGCGTAGTGGCTCACGCCTGTAATCCTAGCTCTCTGGGAAGCCGAGGCGGGCGGATTGTTTGAGCTCAGGAGTTCGAAACCAGCCTAAGCAAGAGCGAGACCCCGTCTCTACTAAAATTAGAAAGAAATTAATTGGACAACTAAAAATATATATAGAAAAAATTAGCCGGGCATGGTGGCGCATGCCTGTAGTCCCAGCTACTCGGGAGGCTGAGGCAGGAGGATCGCTTGAGCCCAGGAGTTTGAGGTTGCTGTGAGCTAGGATGACGCCACGGCACTCTAGCCTGGGCAACACAGTGAGACTCTGTCTCAAAAAAAAAAAAAAAAAAAGATCAAGAAGGACAGATTCTAAGCATAATCAAGGCTTGACTGAATATAGAATAAGCCATCCCAGGCTAATCATGGTTATCAGCACATCTGACCAAAAACATCAGGCAGAAAGCCCTACCTTTGAATGTGCTGTTCCTTCTACCTTGAACAGCTTTCCTCTCCTCTGCCTAGAAAGCTCCTATTCACCCTCCAGAACCTCGTTCTGTTTCATCCCACCTGTGAAACTTACATTAATTTCCCCAGAGAGAGTTGGGGACATCCTCCTTAGCCATCCCAAAGCTCTCTTGACCAGAACTCCTAATCACATTATGGTAACAAGTATCTTCTCACTGCACTGTGACCTCTGCAGTCATGAACAATGACTTCCTCATTTCCCCATCTCCATTGCTGTTCCTGGCATGTAGCCAACGTTCAATAAAGTGTTTTGAGTTAATTTAAATGTGTGCATATCTCTGAACCACTTGGGCAACAAAGGAAAGGCCCCCATTACAGAATTTTTGTAGGCTCCATCTCTATTCCCACCAAAAATGTCTAAGTCTCAATTTTATCATAAATAGGATAAATGGACTTTTTAAAAAGTGTAAGGAGAAGAGACAGCCTAGAACAAAGGAGAGCAAAGAGAACAGGTTTGTTAGTGCAGCCCCTGCTCGGTCCAGGGCAGTCCCAACCAGTCCCCTCAGGACATCCTCAGGATGATTTTTGAAGACTTCAGACTCTCAGAAGAGGATGGCAGGAGGCACCAAGATCATCCCAAGAAGTCCCTGACTCTGTGCCCAGGGCCTCCAGGAGCACTCCCAGGTACAGAAACCATGGAGAACAGCTTTCCAAAAACTCTAGTCTGTATCTTATTTTGAGTTAATAAATCAGCTTTTGGGCTTATCTTAACAGTTGTCAGCCCATCCTCCTAAGCCTGATTGGTTCTGCTTCCCAGGGAAACCCAGACTTCTGAACTAAGGACCAGGCCACATGCAGGAGTGACGGTCCCAACTTATGCTCCACCGAGGGGTTCTGCCTGGGCCTTAAGCTTTCTGTACCACAGTTTTCCTTATATGTAAAACTGGTATAGTAGTAGTACATACCCTTCGCGCGTGTGAAGATTAAGTGAATTAACATGGGTAAAGCACTCAGAATAAGTACTATGTAGCTATTCTTTCGACAGCAGAATTTGGTGTGTTATGCCAACTCCTTTGAGAAGAGTCTAGGAGAAATGTGGTAGGCTGTCTTCCCCTCTGCCTCTCAGATCACAAAGTTGCCATTCTTTTCACCTGCAGTGCAGAAAGCTGCCAAATCTCGATTCCACAGCTGACTTTGCCTCTAACTAGCTGTGGGACGATGGAAAAGGGCCTCCTGACTGCCATGGGCCTCAGTCTTCTGGTCTGTAAAATGAGTGGTCCAAGGACCCTTCCAGCTCTGGAACTCTGTGACTCTGATTGTAAAAAGAGCTCAACGGCTTGAATACACACTGTCAGTCAGGAGAAGGGGCTCAAAAGTAATCTTTCTCTGACCTGTGAGTCAGTTTTCAGGACGGTCTATAACTCATCTTTCCAGAAAAAAGCAAAATCTGTTTGTACTTAAGGGCCCAGAAATCACAGGGTTCACCATATTGGAGTAATTATCAGGTTCAAGCTCAAGGAAG